TATTAACTCTGGCCATTAGGCCATACTTCCTTAAGGCTAAGGATGGTCATTTGGACTCAGCTGAGGGGCCATAATACCTCTCCCCCTGCCCAGAGTGTAATGGGGTCTACAGGCCCACAATGATGTCCAGGTCTTTTTCCTGAGTTGCTGCTGTTAATTTAGGATCTTGAAAGGTGTATAAATAGTTGTTTCATCCAAATATGCACTACTTTACATTTGTCAGCACTGAATTTAATTTGCCATCATGTTGCCAATTCATCAATTTAGTTAGGTCCCTCTAAAGTTAGTCTAGTTTTGACTAATCTAAATATTTTTGTTTTATATGCAACTTTTGCTATTCTGTAGCTCATCCTATTTTCCAGATCATGAATACAACAGTGATCACAATACGCAAACTTTTGATGCCCATTGTAAATTCTTTTACTGTGTTGCAAAAATGATTTATTCCCATTCTGTTTTTGTCTTCTAGCCAGTTTCTAAGCTAGATAGTGTTCTTTTAAATAAAGATATGCATGCATTTAATGAGTACAGATCTTTTCAGAAGTTCAGATAATTTATCAGTCAAATACATATTTAGTGACTGTCACGTTACTGGAATTTGAGGGAAGCAGCCGGATCATGGCTGTACCCATAGGTGGGGGTGCTGGCCCCAACAATGATAGAGAAGGGGGCCATGTGGGTATTGATACCTAAAGCTTTTTAGACAGTTACGAAGCTGAGCAACGTGTATATGATTGGGGACTGTTCTCCCACTACAAGCAAGTAGAAAAAGGCAGCCGCTACAGTATTTCATAAAATTGTTCCTGTTCAGAAAACTAAAGGCCTTGTTAGCCATTTAAGCACAGTTGACTTACTGAATAATCTTGCTGTGAATCTTCTGAGGACTGGGAATTATATAAAGTGAATAGAAAAGAGGTTCTTTTGAAAATGTGTTATGAGATTCCCAGAAGACATTTTACTGGTCAAAAAGGGTATGTCTATGTTGCATTCCTCCTTCAAGAGAGGAATGCAAATGCAGACAAACGAAATTGGAAATGAAGCTTAAATTTTAATTTCCCGCGCATCATTTGCATAATTGCAGCCAGCCGCTTTTCCGAAATATCATATTACGAGGGGAAAAAGTGGTTATTTCGAAAAGAAACCCTTCCTTTGAAATAACCCTTAAACCTCATTTTTAAAGAGTAAGGATTATTTTGAAGGAAGGATTTCTTTTAGAAATAACCCAGTTTTTTTCTTGAAATACAGTATTTTGGAAAAGTGGCAGGCTGCAATTATGCAAATGAAGCACGGGAAATTCAAATCCACGCTTCATTTGCAATTTTGTTTGTCTGCATTTGCATTCCTCTCTCAAAGGAGGAATGTAATGTAAACATACTGAAAGAGAACTACACAAAAAAAAATCACTATCCAGAAGCTTTATTCCTTAAAATGTGTAAATAGTTTTGAAATGTTTCATTAAATGATAATTAATTCTTTTTTAAATGTACTAACACAGGAAGCTGGAAGACAGATGATTACTGATGGGTTTTGGATACTTCTAGGTCAACAGTTCAGATCAGCCACTTGATGATAACCAAAGTTATTACTATCTGCTGGTTGTTTAGCCTCTGAGAAATAGATTGGTTGTCTCAATTCAGTTCCTAGTACATATATCTTTACATAAGAAATATCTTTTTAAGGCAGTCTCAGTGAAGGGAGTAGGGTCTGAATGATTATAGATAATGAACTTTTTCACCTCAAGAGGCACTATCTTTAGGCTAAAGATGTTGAAGGCAGATAGGCAGGATACTGTCAGGCTGTGTCTACATTGGCAAGATTTTCCGCAAAAGCAGCTGCTTTTGTGCAAAATCTTGCCACCTGTCTACACTGGCTGCGAGTACTTGCGCAAGAACACTGACGTTCTAATGTCTAAAATCAGTGTTTCTTGCGCAAATACTCTGACGCTCCCGCTCAGGGATAAGCCCTCTTGTGCAACTGTTCTTGCTCAAGAGGCCAGTGTAGACAGGCAACGTTAATTGCTTGTGCAAGAAAGCCCAATGGCTAAAATGGCCGTTGGAGCTTTTTTGCGCAAGAGAGCATCAACACTGGCACCAGGGCCGGCCCGAGCCCTTTTGGTGCCCTCAGCCCAGGTGCGCGGTGCCGCTCCTGGGTGCAGGGCGCATGCGCATACCGGCCACGGCCTCTGGCAGGGCCCGACAGCCATGGGGAGGAGGGTGCTGCTGGCTGGTGCCGTGGGGATCGGGCGCGCAACTCCTGATGGCAGCTGTAAGGGACACCATCAAGTGCCTCTCATCGGTTGGCGCCCTGGGAGCTGCCCAGCTCGCCCATGCCTCCGTCCAACTGACTGGCACGGATGCTTTTGCGCAAAAGCACATCTCTTGCACAAAGGCACATGCCAATGTAGACGCTCTCTTGCGCAAATACTTTAATGCAAAAACTCCTGCGTTGTAAGTATTTGCGCAAAACCTTGCCAATGTAGACGTAGCCTCATAGTGCTCAAATTGCTGCTACAGTTTAAATCTCTTTAGTGTGGTACCCTTAGGTCCCGATTGGTGTTAAACTAGAAAATTTGTCAGCTGGGGGAGCCGGGCGCGCAACTCCTGATGGCAGCTGTAAGGGACACCATCAAGTGCCTCTCATCGGTTGGCGCCCTGGGAGCTGCCCAGCTCGCCCATGCCTCCGTCCAACTGACTGGCACGGATGCTTTTGCGCAAAAGCACATCTCTTGCACAAAGGCACATGCCAATGTAGACGCTCTCTTGCGCAAATACTTTAATGCAAAAACTCCTGCGTTGTAAGTATTTGCGCAAAACCTTGCCAATGTAGACCTAGCCTCATAGTGCTTAAATTGCTGCTACAGTTTAAATCTCTTTAGTGTGGTACCCTTAGGTCCCGATTGGTGTTAAACTAGAAAATTTGCCAAATCGGGGGTCAATATTGTCTAGCAGCATTGCCAACACTTCCACTGCTTACAGGGCTCTTAGAAGACATTTAGGGGTAAATTAGTGCTAAATAACAACACAGAACACTGAGAGCCAGGACTGGTGGGTGAAAACTTTATGGGACCGTGGGAAAGTTGGCTACTCACGTAAGTGGACGTCAGCAAGATTTTACTAATGTTGCCAGACCAGAGTGTGCAGGACTAGAGAAATTCAACTTGTATCACATTGCACATAACCGGTGGCTTGACAATCTTCATTTGTATTCTTTGCTGTTAGGCGGACACCTTTAGCTTGGTCTACACCAAAGTTAGGCGGACACAGATACCTAACTCAGCAATGTGACACACCCACGTCCTTGAACAATGCCATTCATCTGATTGTCAGTATGAATGCCAGTGAGGTGGTGGGGGGGGCACTGATGACAAGGGTGTCAGGGCAGCGGCACAGCTGGGCCAGTCTGGGGAGGATGGGCAGGGCCAGTGTGTGCAGAAGGAAGCGCGGGCGGGACGCCGTGGCCAGAGCCTGGTTACTGGGGTGCGGCGCAGGCAGGGGCCCGGGGCAGGGCGTGGCTGGGCCTGGGGCGTGG